CCTGCCTTCTCGCTTTCTTTTTTAGCAATCCTCCCCGTCTCCATTGCCTTGCCAGCCCCTCTCGCTTTTCCCCTCTCCTACCACCATCTCCACCTTTTTCCCTTTGCTCCCAAACTGCCCTCCCCAAGCTCTACAAACCGAGGAATCAAAACTTTCAGGATTTACCTCTTCCAAACTGGAGTTATGTTTTTTTCTGGCAGGAAAGTTGGGAGACGCTCCCTGTGGGTCCCGTAACTTGCTCCGAGAGTTACCGGCACCCTCTCGCTTTTCCCCTCTCCTACCACCATCTCCACCTTTTTCCCTTTGCTCCCAAACTGCCCTCCCCAAGCTCTACAAACCGAGGAATCAAAACTTTCAGGATTTACCTCTTCCAAACTGGAGTTATGTTTTTTTCTGGCAGGAAAGTTGGGAGACGCTCCCTGTGGGTCCCGTAACTTGCTCCGAGAGTTACCGGCACTGTGTCCCAGAGCAGGGGAGGGGGAGAAAGGGGAGGTGTGCCCCCCGCCTTTTCCCACGGCTGTCCCCCCAAGGCTGGCTCTCCCAAGCTGACGCCCCGATGCCACGGTAGAGAGGGAGCAAAGCTGGCGGGGAGGGGACGTGGGAAGGAGGAGGGCGGGCTGCAGCACAGCCGAGCCAATCCTCGCCTCGGCAAGAAGACCAGAGAAAATGAGATTTATTCCAACTATCCAGGACACAAAACTTCAGGAACTTCTCTGCTGCTTCCTCCCACCCTGCCCCCCCACTTCCCCAGTGCCATTTCCCGTCCTCTGGCATTGACTGATGGCCACCCACTTCAATAAATTTTGGGGGAAGGGGGAAGACCAGGTCACTGGCTAACCTGGTTAGGGGAGCTTGGCTGAGGGGGGCAAAGGAAAGGAGTTTGCCCCTTGTGTATTTGACCCCCTTATGTATCACACAGATTTGTCCCATCCTGTGTTGGATGGGAAGTGTCCCATGCCCGTGATGTAGCAACGCCAGCCAGGAATGGGGTCTGGGGGTGGGTGATCATGCCAGGACCTGTGGGTTGAGCGTTAGCCAGATAACAGCCTCCTCGTAGGCTGCCTGGGCCATGTGGGCGTTTTGGGGTCAGAACATGCATTACAGGGCCAGGGCAAGCATCACAGCAGCGGCATGGTGTCAGACCATCATGAGGGGGTGGCACTGGGTGAATTCAAAGAGGTGCTCCTTGGCAGCACCAAGGAGGGTTTCTGCCCATACATGGGACACTGCATCCTTTTGGCATCACGCTTCATTGCTTTGTCCCTT